TCGCATTCTTAGTTAGCCACCCTGTACATAGGTATATGAAATTGTGTACTGTCACTTTATGTCCCGCGTTGCGTTTTTCTCCCTGCGGGAGAAAAACTGGCCGTTTAGCCCCTTAAATGAATGACAAAACACGGTGATTTAGTCCACGGACTAGGTAGGTACAAAAATATCATTTTTTGGAGTTTAAAATTTAAATTTTTACAAGGCGAAACCCTTTATAAGTCTATACTCATGGGGACAACACCGGGCGTTCTCATCTGCTAAAATTTGGGATTACATTACAGCAAATTATTTTTAGTTGTACTTGTACCTGATGTTTTTTTTTGCGTTACAAGCCATAAATTTCAAATCGCAGCGGGTTACCAACCTAACCTATGCATACGGGACTTTTGCATTGACCTCACTAAACAACACACACCATGAACAGGCTGTTTCAGATAAACGAGCATCTTTTTGAAGAGGCATGCGCATTTGAATTTTAATCGAGTCACGTCGGAATCTACATGCTATGAATTTAACGTATATTTGTGATAGCTACTGTGTAGTTTTTGTCTTATAACCTCACTTTAGCTTATTAACTTCAAAGATTTGAATTTTTGTAATTGAGTTATGAGTTCAGATTCCGAACCAGAGATGCATCCCTACCTTCTATCCACACACCCCCTTGTAGTAAAGGAAGTCTGGGAAGGAAAATTTGATTTATTTATAAATTTGTAGTTAAACCCTTTCGTCTACCAGGATCCATTAAGAACTCCCGCTATATCTGCAGCGATTTCCAATAATGACAATGAGAGAGTCAAAAGTCTTTTATACAGTGGAAAATGTGTAAATTATGCGGATAACAACGGCAACACGCCTTTACATCATGCAGCATACTTGAATAGGTTTGGTTCGATTGCGTTTACTATTTTTCACATTTAGACTGTAGGACTGAAGTTATTCGTACATTGATTGAACACGAAGATATCATTATAGATCCCAAAAACTACGAGGGTTATACTCCTTTACTACTGCACTTATCAAATAATCCAGTGGAAGAAATTGTGATGCTTTTATTGAGTAACGGGGCAGATGTTAAAACGACAAGTAAGTTAGATGAAAGTGTGCTACACATGGCTGTTAAACATAGCAACAACAACGTAGTTTCTGCTTTAATAAAGTGGGGAGCGGATATAAATGCTCAAGATTATGAACTGTACACTCCCCTTATAGAAGCTGTTCAATGTAATAATCTGGAACTTGTTTGTTTACTTCTTTATTATGATGCAGATGTAAATATCATCTCGTCTAGCGGCCTTACAGCTTTCATGTATGCCACAATGAGTTTGCGACAATATGATGTTGCCAAAACCTTATTTGATTATTATGATGACTTCTCATTAGTTTCTATTTATGGTGATACAACACTTTCATTGGCAGCGAAGGCAAAAAATCCTATTGCTATTGACATAGTTAAAGCGGCTGGAATCGGGTACAATTGTTGCGCAGAACTATTAAGAATCTCCTTAACATTCGATGATCTTGAGTTCTTCAAGGAAATTTGGAAACGCATAGATTTCACAGATCTCACAGTACATCATTTAGACTTGACATATGCAGTATTGCATACGGCTTTACCAAAGCAAGATTGGCTGGATTGCATGTATTTACTGCTTTCCTCCTCTGTGGCCCAGAATTTAATCAGCAATACATCTATATGTGCCAAGGGATTATTTAAAAGGTTATCTTTTACATTCCAACAGAAAGGAATAGAATTATCAGATAGACTGCAGATTATGTGTTTATATTTATCATTAGGTTATACCACCACACTAGCAGACTTATCAGCAATTTATGAGAAGTACGGTTTCAATGAAGAATTACACCTCTTACTTGACCACCCACTTTTGGAATGTGATAATAAGGCAGAAATAATCCACCCAATGGTTACCTTTATATTGGGTTTTGAAAAAGAAATCTGCAAACAGTACCTAATTAGCTTATTACATAAATATGCTTCATGTACAAGCATTCGTGATAGTACAAAGAACTTTGCCGCTATATTATATACTTTTAAATTTTTTTCAGTTCCTTGTATTGAAAAACATTTCCTCATTTATTGTTCAAATAGTGACATTAAACTGTCAGATAGATCCGAAACACCTTGCCTAGTTGAACTTTGCCGAAACAAAATTCGAAACCATTTAAGACTGATTTGCAATATAAAAAAATCACATCACATATACAATGTTGTTAAAAGGTTGCCTATTCCTAAGACCATATTGGATATTTTGCTTTTTAAAAAGCCATTGTATTAAGTATAGGAGTTACTATTATTGTTTTAGTTACCAAATAATCCACAGTTGTTAATAAAAAACACTTTTATTATAAAAGTATATTTTTGTACCTATTAAAAGAGGATAGTTAATAGTTATTATAAAGATTTTTCATACTTAGTTTTTATGTTTATCCCTTAACCATCTCACTTAGGTACTTCAGATGATGGGGTAATTAGAATATGAGTTTCTCTTCAAGACTGTACATAAATTGATGCTTTGCTATTAACGGACTATACTGGACTTTGACGTTCTGCCGAACTTTTCCCAGACATATCAATTTGGCATTTGTCAACTACACCTAGAACTATTACCACAGATATACACATGTATGTGTCTATCTGTGCTATTAGGATATTACAATAGGATAAAGGTGGCTATGGAAAATTTGAACTAAACCGCTCAACACATACAGTCAGGAAATCAAGAAGATTCACTGCTTTTTCACGGGCCTCACTTGCCCGAAGGTACAGAATTTGAATGTAAGTAATCGATGAACACATCTTAAAAAGTTAATGTGGTATTTGATGGATATGCCGATGATAACGCTGTGAGTATACAAAGAGTAACAAAAGATTAAGACATATATATTTAATATTATCAACAGAGAATACCCTGAGATGGAGTTTAATGCAAGAACACCCAACCGAAACAAAGTCTGTTGAGTAATTTGAGTACCTAATAAACAAAGATTCATTGCTCAGCTGGCCAACAGACTTAATATACATATTCAAATGCACAATAGGCGTATTGTAACATCGAATGAACTTTAGTTCGATTAAATTAATAGAATTCCGAAATTCCAGTTAAATCTAATTACCCCCAGTTGAATTAACGTGATACTCGTATTTTGAATAATGCCCGAGGTGTAATTTACTTCCAAATTGTTTTGAAAATAGCGGTAATTTTTAAAATAATCACGCATGCGTCTTTAGTAGGAGTCGCGTTTAGATTTACATAACAGTTTGATACCAACTTTTAATTTAATGACGAAAACTACGTCATGTTAATTAAAGTGGTTCCTTATCTACTGATAAATTATGGAATGGCAAAGTGATTAATTTGGGTAAATTAAATGGTAATTTATAAGTATGCCAAACATTCAATTCAATTCGTAATGATCGTAGTAATTATCTCACGGTTGGTAGGGATAATCGCATAAACGTTAAATGAAAATGGCTGTCGAAATCTTTTGTCATCATTTTAGTTAGTAGTTCTTCTCGATATCTCGCGGTGTGTTGTGTTGTTTGTTTATTTTAGACGATTATTAATAGGTTTTTGATAGTTTAAAATAGGAATTTGTGCCGCAAATTAGTCATAAGCGACGTTTTATCCCCAAGCTTGAACAGATTGACATTCCCAAGAGCTAGAATTTCCCACAACAAATCTGCGACGAGCAGAAAGATTTTTGGGTGAGTTTTTTCTTTTGCTATTTATTATGCTAATTATAACTGTAAATGCTAATATCGATCCTATAAACCTCATTGTGTATTCGATGTTGGAAAAACTTTCCTTGTCGCGGATTGTAATGCCCAACGAGTGTTAAAGGATTATTTATTGTGCTAATCACTTTCACTTTACGTCTTTTTGTCTGCACAACTTTCTAATTTTAGGCATTATTTGTACGGAGGGTGATGTCATTTGTTTAACCTAGTAACAAATTTGTGGTTTAACGATCGTGATTAATTTTGCCGGAATTCGTCCTGTACGGTGACGTTTGTAACGGCTGCAATTGTGATGCTATTTTTGTTTATCTACTCATTGTTTTCGTTTAAACAACCTCCTTGTATGGTGGGATTTCGAAGAAAAACGAAGAAAATAGGAGTCGGTATTAGGTATTGAATAATTTTCTATTGTTACGTTTGTATTCATAGGGCCCTCCACTTGTTTAAATTTAAGGGGCATTTCATTTAAATATTGTATGATATGCACACATTTTTTATAAACAAGATTAGCGTTTATGATCCTGCTAATCTTGTTTGTTATTCTTCATATTTTGGCGCCGCCGTAATTGATATCAACATACTTCTGGAAAAAGTTCAATATCCAATGTACTGCTTGCTATAAGTACATACAACACTGCATAGGGAAGTTATTAATTTATGCAATTGGATAAAGCACTTATTGAAGATTTGGAATTTTCTGATTGGTCTTTTAGCTCTCATTTATGGTAGGTACAAGGTAATACGGTATTAGTCTACGAGAGATGGTTCTTTTTTGATAAAGATGTAGGTATAACACCACATTTCAAGATTCCAAATGATGCCAGTGAGATTTCATGCAATTTCAAAGTGTTTTTAAGAAGTTTTAAGGTATTACAATTGATATATATTTTCTCGTAATTTTAGTGGGATTTCAGATTATGTACCTAAATATGATTTTAAGAGATTTCGGTAGGATCGCAAGTATTCAAGATGATTTCAACAATTTTTAAGTGATTTAAATATCTGAATAACTAAATTACAACATTCGACATTCAGTTTTTGTTCTATAAAATTTATTGTAAGAGTATGATGTGGAACCATTTATACATATATGTACTAAGGATCCAGCCAAGGATTTTGTATTTAATTTAAAAATCATGAAATTTTAATATACCTACAGCCTACAGGTACAGTAGTGTCTCTGATTTCTAAATCCGTATGAAGTTAGCAATAATATTTCAGCAATAGGCTTTGCATACTTCGTGTTAACTCAGTGACTCACTTGGTGATAATTAAATATGCATATATGAATATTAAATTTATACATATCTAATATATCAATCCTTAAATATCGACAATAAAGTTTTTCTATTTCGGTGTCACAATGATGATTTTGTACAACTGTTTTCGGCCAAAAACAGTTGTACAAAGACAGTGATTATAGTCGTTTTTTTTTTGGTAACTTATCTCTTAAGTTGGCAGTTACTAGTTAGTACAAGTAGGTACTTCGTTGGGTACTTCCATGTTTGAACTTCAAAATGTCAGTCTTACTATGCTGCCAACCTAAAACTTAACGGCATAAAAAGTGTTCCCAACATAAAACATGTTAGTTCTAATGTTCCCTATAGTTTCTGATAATGATTTTTTTAATTAAATTAAGGCACCGAAATAGAAAAAATAGTATGAAAAACGCGTGTTACAATGCTTTATTGTAATACTCCTATCTTGCGGACACTCGTGGCTACGCTTCGCGTTGCCACTCGTGCCACAAGATAGTCGTATTACAATAGGTCGCATTGTAACACTTGTCTTTCAATATACTATTATACACATATGCTTCCTTTTTGAGAAATAATTTTTGAACTTTGTATATTTATAATCTGGTTGTATCCATTCTACTCAATCAAGAATGATCAGCGATTGACTAAATGGTTACACGCAGTGAACACTGTTCAAAATGTTCCAGGTGCCTCAAGTGTTTCAGTCTCCGATAGTGTTTTTTTCAAGAATCTCAAGCGTTAAACTAAACGTAGGAATCGAGCGATGTAATTTTTCTTTTGCCGATGCCGATATGGCGACTAATTATACATATTTCTTGAGTTGTGTGAAGTTAGCGGGGTAATTTTAGAAAATAAGCCAACTGCACTATACGGGCAAAATTGAAAAAACTCCTTATTTCAGTGCAGTTTTGAATAGCGGTTGCGGGGTTTCCGGGTTTTAGGGTTACCACCCAATAATTCTGGCAAAATACGCGTTTTAATATTCGGAAAAATTTTTTTACTCAAGCTAAAACAGTTTTCTGAGTTTGAATATCAAAATTAATTTCGAGTGATGGTAACTTGAATTGCCAATCAAAGGTGTTATTCATTATACGAGACCTATGAATTTGTGTCGATTTTTCTTTTCTAGAGTTGAATCAATCAGTACTTCGAGATTGAACGAGCAAGGGACATGATTCAGGTAATGTAAAAAGGGAACCGTATATTTTAAGGGTGTTGCAAATTTAGATTTTTATCACTTACAGTAAGGTAGAACTTTTAAAAAGCCGGTCATTGGTTCTAACCGGTTTAAAAAGCCAAAAACAAAGTACTTACTTATTTTTTCTTATGTCGACCCATTTTCATTATATGTCAAAGAAACATTAAGTGTGTCTATGTTTGTTATAGCTAGGGAATTATACCATTTACTGATAATAATAATAATAATAATGTTTATTGTTGTTCAACAGACATCCATATATGAAAATCGCAAAAAAAGATAAATGAATTGTTAAGCGCATACTGCATTATTAAAACTATAGTAGGAACTAATATTTAAAATAGAAAACATAAAAATCAATATAAATATTGCAGTAAGTAATTGTAACTAGTGGAATAAATAAATACCTTTGACAATTAAGTTCTAAACTAAAAATAGAATATTGATAAACAGAGAATTAACAAAAAAAAATAAAGTAAAGAAAATGAAGCAAAAAAAAGGATGATGAACCAAAATTACAATTTTCAGTTAACCACAAACAAAGCTTAAAACATTGCATACCTAATGCGTTGTAATGAATGTCACAGTTCTGGCAAATCTTATAATAATTACTGGACATTATTAAGGAGGGAGTTCTGCGAAGGAGATTGGATTTGGGAGTAGGATATGTGAAGGTTTTTAAGTACCTAGTAGAATGCGTTGGAATGGTAAAGGATAGCTTGTGAAGTAAGTAGGGACAATCTAAATGACTGTTGGTTAGTTTGTAGAGGAACTTAATGCTATTCGCGACTCGTCTCTGTTCCATTGAATAACGTGCTAACATCGTGTCCTGAGGAACAGCACGTTGTGGATATTCTCCATCAATTTTGAAAATAATGAATTTTAAAAATCTTCGTTGGATACTCTCAATGTCGTTTTTAGATATTTTGTATAGTGGGTACCATACGAGGTCGCAGTACTCAAGCTTCGAGCGAACCAAGGAGTTATACAAACGAAATAATAAGTTGATGTTTTTAAACTGCTTAGTATTCCTTATGATGAAGCCCAGAGTTTTCATAGCTGAGGAGCAAATTAGATGTATGTGCTCCTTAAAGCTGAGACGGAAATAAAATGTGATGCCAAGATCTTTAATAGTATTAATGCGACTATGGCCAACTGTCTCTATATGAGAGACTAA